GACCATCCTCCTAACCCCTGTGCTTTCCTGCCTTCCTATACAGCCCATCCGTGACCTTTGTCTGGTGTATTATCTTCCTCCCATGTCCAACCCCCAAAAATTATGACTTGTAGATGTGCTCTACCTGAATTGTGTTATTTATATCACATTTTGGGATGTTTTTATTGCCAGGGATTCTAGTGGAATCCAGCCCTCTCCTGCACGTCTGCTTTTGCCCCCTGCCAACAGTGTGGCTAGGTGCTTTGTGATGGAGGAAGGGGTGACAGGCAGGAGCAGTGGGTGGGCCCAAGGAGGGAATAGATAATCTAAGAGGGGGAGAGAGAAGGATTTGCCATATGACATGCTATATGTGACCACCCACGCTGACAATGACTATTCAGTTTTTACTGGGAGGCAGCCTACTTTAAGGGGAATGACATGGGCATCAGAGCCAGACAGACCAGCAGGAAAACACAGATCTGCTGCTTAAAAACATGTTTGCTGAGCCTCAGTTTCCTGATCTGTAAAGTGGGGGTGGTGATACCAACCTGACGGAATTGTAGTAAGGATTAGACAAAACGTATATATGCAAAACTTTTTCATATAATAATACTTAATAAAAGAAGGCCATTATTGCATCAGTATATTAAATAGAGGGGGAACTCCTGGAGGATCAATTAAAATTCTTTAGCCTGATCCATCCAGGGGGCATTTATTGTTCCATTGTTGTATTCTCATCTCTAGCTGTGTACTCTGGGCAGGTGGCATAGAATTCAGAGAATGAAAACAGGTCCTCTTTCCTAGGCTCTGTGATTTCCCACAGCTCTGGCTATATCTTAAGAATGGTCATCATCATGTGTATTCCTCTCTTAGCCTTCTTTCCCACCTCTTCCCTTCCAGGCAAATTAAAAAGGATCTGACCATTGTTTCTTTGCCTTTAGGGGCCTGGGAAATTCAGGGAATAGAGGTGTTGGTTCTATAACTCATAAACTCCAAGGGATCAGGGCTTTGTCCAGAATGATCACTGCTGCACCCCAAGCAGCTAAAAGAGGTGTGCAACAAATCCTTGTTGACTAAATAAATTTAGGATCATCTGAGACTCTTTGCTACATGTCTGCAACGGCGGTTTCTTAGCCTTGACGTGATTGACATTTTGGGCTAGCTAAGTCGTTTGCTCTGGGGGCCGCCCTGTGCATTGTAGGATGTTAAGCAGCATCCTTGGCTTCTACCCACTAGATACAAGTAGCATCCCCTCAGTGGATGACCAGAATGCGTCTCTAGATGTTGCCAAATGTCCTCTGAGGGGCAATGTCACCTCAGATGAGCACCCCTTGTCCACAGAGAGAGCATTTTTGATTAGGGTTCTGTTGGGAGGTTAAGGTTTGTAACATGAATGAAACAAAAAGATTTCTTAAAGATAAGAGAATATACTGTGTATGTGATACCAGTGGAAATGTTTCTCTCACTGAAATCGATTACAAACATTTACCTTCCGGTTGCTACAACGTCTATCAGAGTGACAGGAAAGAGAGGTATGGCTTCCTGCTGCCAAGGCTGCAGCTTTGCCATGAACAGCTTGCACCGCTACTTTACGAAAGAGTAACAGTAGATGGTACAGCTCCTGGTTCAACTTTGAATCAGCAAGTGCAGTACAGACTGACCTGTTTACAGGGCAGATCTTTTAAAAATCTTGGCTTGTTTGCCCGTTTAAAATTGGTTCTGTGGCTATAGCCCAACCTAATTGGTTAAAGAAGTCTGAGATTCAGTCACGAGGTTTAGGCATGTTAGTGTTTTTCAGTGATGGTCAGAGTCAGATTTGGCACACAGAACAACGCCATGCCTTGTGCTGGCTGGCCAAGCCAATCATGTACTCCCATCAGTGGTTCTGATATCATCATTTTGTTATTGTGAAACCTGGATAATTCATGAAACAGGAAGACATTAAGAAACTGAATTTCCATGAAACTTGACATGTTTCCTTTCAAACCCCAACACAACAGTATCATCACTGTTAATCTATCAAAATAGAGCTGTCATTGAGTGTGATCTTGTTGGTTTTTGTGAGAACCTTCCTAACCCTGCACCATTGTGAAGACTAATTTAATATTGTTTCCTCTAAGAGAATTATAATAATCTTGTATGAAAGACAGGATTCAGCAGATATGGTGGCTTTGATGAGAACACACCAAGAGTCAACTGCAAAACCCCATTAAACAGTGTAAGTGTGGCTTGCACAGGCAGCTCAGCAGTGAGGGGTGAAGAACAGGAAATGGCAGACAGATCACCTGTATTCAAATCACATTTTTATGGCCTCTGGCAAGTTACCAAACCTCCATAAGCCCCAGCTTACTCACCTGTAGAATGGTGATAAATAATATTGACAGCCGCATAAGTAGCATTGCAAGGATTCAGTGCTGCAGTGGAGGCCGAATGCTCAGCACATCAGCAAGAATTCAGCACATACATATTGGCTGTTGACATGTTTGCATTTCACTAATAAGCACTGCCTAGTTGTTTTGTTCTAGAGCCATTTTGGGGGCTTTGGAAATTCAATTTCTTAAAAAAAAACTTGGATAGTGAAACTGAGAAAACCTAAATGACTTTGTATAATTATCTCCTGCACTGAAATACAAGTAAGATACCAGACTATGAAGGCAGGCATTTAAAAAGGCATATAAAGCAAATGTTCATCAGTGATTTTTTTTTCCTAGGTTAAATGGTATTATCGTCACATTGTCTTTGCTTAAATTGATTTAATGCTGTCTGTAGGAGGTGAACATTCAAATTATACTCATTCTAAACCATCCTAAATTGAAGTTCAACTTTAATAATTAGTAAAAAAAAATTTTGAAATACATAGTTTTTTAAGTGAAAAAATAAAAAGTACATTTCCTCCCTTTGTACCCTACCACCCCATCTTCCCCCAACACACACACGGTTAGGGAAGGAGCCCTGTATATACTCTTCTGTGTGCTTTGGGACATCCAGGAATGTATTTGCTGGGCATGTTTGGTGGAACAGTCAGATAAACTTTTCAAAGGAAGAAAAGTCAGTATTGGAAAAAATGACAGTAGATTTTAATATAAAAGTAATAGAATTTTCCTTGTTAATAGTCTATTCAGAAAAAAATTAAGGTTTTAAAAATTTTTGTCCCTAATCTTTTTATAATTTTAGCTGAAAAAGGCATAAGAACCTGCATTAAATAGCAAATTAATATTTGTCCAATGTGATCCTAAGTAACCATAGTCCTGGCAGTCCATACGGACTGATGCATTCTGTCACGGGCCCAGGCACAAACTGTCATTAACAAGTTATTGATTGAGTACTTCACCGTTCACCACACCTTTCATTATTTTAGGCTTCAAGCCTGGCAACGAAATGCAGTCATGATGGTTATTGTGAATTTGCTTTTTTTTTTTTTTTTTTTGAGACAGGGTCTTCCTCTGTTGCCTGGGCTAGAGTACAGTGGCATCATCATAGCTCAGGGCAACCTCAGACTCCTGGGCTTAAGTGTGATTTGCTTTTGTTAAAACCATGTCCATCAAATTTATTTTGCTGGACAAAGTAGAGTCGTGAACTCAGTGCTTTAGGGTAGATTTCTTTATGAGGTTTCACTTGCCATTGGGAGTCCCTTGTTTGTTCCCAAACTAGTCTATAATTGTGCTTCCTTAGTGACCTTCTGATGAGGGAATTATATTCAGAAATGCATTTTTGATATTTAGGTTCCACACCTAGGGACCCTTCACTGGTCCATAGTTCATGGACTATAGTCTGTAGAGCCCGCTGTGCTTACCCTCACCCAGCATGGGCCTTTGCCATGGCCTCTACCCCTGAGCTAATAGGAATTTGTGCACATCTCTAGTGTGTAGCAGTCTAGCAACTGTCCAGAAAGTGCAACATGGTGAGAGTCCCTGGGGGATGGTAGCTTTTATAGGCTCTAGATCCTAGTGGGTCGGTTGTGATGGGGTACTTTCTCTTCTCAGCAAGCCTCTTATTTCTCACTAACAACCATAAGTGGAGCTTTTGAGCATTATTTGTATGGTGAAATATCTTTTGAGATGGGGTTTCACTCTGTTGCCCAGGCTGGTCTTGACCTCTTGGGCTCAAGTAGTCCTCCTGCCTCAGACTCCTGAGTAGCTGAAAATATAGCGTGTGCCACCACACTGGGCTAAAATATCATCTCAGGCTTGCTATAACTGGACCTCAACATTCTTCAGCATGAACTGCTAGTTCATAATAGGGAGAAAGAAAAGGTGACAGGAATTGAGAGTCTTAATTCCTAAGGTTTGATGAGACCATGTCATTTTACCCCCAGTTCCAGTAAATGGTGCTTGGTAAAGCCAGTTAAATTGCATTTCTGGTGAATAAACCTGTAGTATGTTGCCATCTAGTGGAACATATAGCAAACTAAAGATTAATGCATTCCGACCATAAAGTTCAGCAGAGCTAATTAAATCAGAACATTAGAAAATAACAAAGTACTTTCTAAAGGCAAGGGTTTTGGAAACACATGCAAATTCAGATGAAATCAGAATTGACTTTTAGTAATGTTTTCTTAAAGCAGGCAAATGGTCACTTTGTTTCTCAAGAGTGCATATTGACCACCAGGGCACTAACAAGTTTTCAAACATCACCAGGTCAGGACACTGCATCTTCATTGCCATCTGTACAATAGTCAATTATCTAAAATCCTAGGCAAAATGCTTGGTTATTAATAGGTTATTTCAGTATTTTTTAAAATGTGGTTATAAAATTTCTAATACCTTTTTTACATACTTTAACTTTTTTTTATTAAATTTCCACAGAATAAATATGCTGATTTTTTAGGGGAAACAAACACATGACTTCATAAAGTGGGAATTTCACATTTTAAATTCTAACTAGCATCCCAGAAATTTGCAATTCTGTGCTTTGAGATCCGAGTTTTTATTAAGCTCAGCAGAATTACATTACAGATTATTTCATGAATACTGACTGCTTGTTTGGTTTGTGTCTTTGTTCTTTTGCTTATGTTTGCTTAGATCCCTCCCTGGTGCCACAGCAGCTGAGTGTGCATCAAATCTGAAGAAAATCTACACAGTACAAACAGTACAGGTAAGCTCAAGAAAGGGGTGAACCGGATTAACATAGTATTAAATATATGTTGGACACTTAAACATCCAACTTGAAAATTGCCACCATGCTGGTGGCCCCTGCCCAGGGTTCTGCGCAGGAGTTAGCTCTCCAGGTCCATTTTGGTGCAGCTGCCCTTGCCCAAGTCCACCCCAGAGGCCAGCCGAGCACACACTTAGGTGGCCTGCTCTTGTCTTGGCAACCTGCTAAAACTTTATCTACTACCCAAACCTTGCATAGACCTGCATGAGGAGCAGACTGTTAAGAGTGAAGATTTTCAAGACATTATCTGTGTCCCTGTTCAAACTCCAGCCCTGCCATTCCCTCTCTGTGCCTCCGTTCCCATCTGTGACAGGCAGTGGCACAGCCCTGCAGTTGTTGAGGGTTTAGAGGTCACCTAGGGAGAGCAGGACAGTGTTGAGCATGAAAGTGGAGAGTCTCAGTTGGATTTCCTACTTCACCTTCCAATTCCAGCCTCCTAAACTAGGCATACGTCAACCCCTTGCGTTTCTATGAAATTGGTATAATGATAGCACCCACCTGCATGGGTTACTGTGAGGATTGAATAAGATAATGTTTATGCCATGCTTAGTAGAATACCTAATAAATATAGCAGCTTCTCAACAAATGCAGGCTCTTAGTTCTATTAGTTCTTTCTCTATCCAACTCTGAGGGTGAACATTCAAAAGAGAAACTGATTGATTTGGTTGATCACATCTCTATTTCCTTCAAAAGCAAAAACTATCAAGTTTCTCCCTCCTTCTAGTTTAATACACTGTTACAGTTAGAACAAGGCTTTTAAGGCTACTTCAGGGTTGCATTGACCATATGTCCATGAATTTTCTAGAAGGAACAGATTTTAAATAGTTTTCCTGTTGTATGCCCCTAAATCTTTTAACTTCTTAGAAATTCCAATAGGTTGGCACCTCGGTTGTGTCTCATAGACAGCCTCTCACATGCAGAAGTAGCACAAAGATCCATGTTTTCAAACCCTGCTCCCAGTATCTGGTTCAAAAAATTTGGCATTCATATTTACAAAGTCCCAGAAATCTGATTGTAAGGTACTGCTTGCAGCCACAGAGAGCAGTAACTGGTATAAAGACACAGTCCTGACCATGGGCCGTTCTGAGCTAGTTGGGAAAATAACATAAGCATGTGGGAAGCAAAGTAACAGTGCCCCTGTTAATAATCATTCAGTGCCAAGTACAGGCAGCGCCAAAAGGCAGCACGTGGGCCACCGTCCGGAGAAATAAATGCTCTCAGAGTCTGGGAGTCCCCTCCCTTCTTCCCTTCTGTGAGTTTGTGGACTTTTGTTACCTCTTCCCAGCAGCCATCTTATAATCCTCAGAGCACTTGATTTTAAGGTCGGTCTGTCCTCACTTGAAGGCTTTTAGATCCTCACTAGACTTTTTCCGCTCTGTTATGACACTGGGTCCCAGAGCTGCACGTGCAATTCCAGGGCAGACGTTGGTAAAGCCAGATGAAGGGATTGGCTTGGTTTTCCTGACCTACACAGTCACACTGAGCATTTGGTGAGGCTTTGGATCCAGCAGTATGCTGCGGTCTTCAGGACCCCGTTTAAAGCACCTGGGCAGGCACACACTGGGGAATACTTCTTTAAAACTATGCTTTATTCCCTTAGGTGGGTGCTGTTTGCCTCAGACTGTCATCGCTGTGAACTGAGTCCAAATACAATGAGTAGAAATCAACTATTTTTATGATAGGAAAAAATGAATATAGTGAAAAAATTCAGTTAAAAAAAAACCTGTACTTTATTGGAATATAATTTATATACAGTAACTGCAGATTTCTTAAGCATAAATTTTGACAAAGGTATGCACACACGTAACCATCACCCAGATCATGATAAAAAACTTTCCCTCACCCCAGAAGGTTTCTTCTTGCCCCTCCAGTCAACCTTACACCCACCCCCAGAGCTACCACTGTTCTGATTTCTGTCACCATACATTCATTGTGTCTGTTATTGAACTTCATATTAATGGAGTCACACAACACTGTACTCTGTTGTGTCTAGTCTCTTTCACTCAATAAATTGAGGGATTGAATGAATAAATGAGAAATGAATAAATGAACCACTTTTCCTGGGGCACAATAGACCACTCATTAAGGATCCATTAAGCTATAGGGCAAAAATTGATTCTTAGGAGAGGGTCAGTGAACACATCGTACTCTTTTTATGTACAAAGCATAGACATACATGCAGCCCATAAACAGATACACAGTCTCTCTGTGGTATTAAATCATCTCATGGGTGATTAGGAAAAGGGCTCCTTCAGGGTGGGGTGGGGGGACAATGAATGAAAGGTTGAGAAACACAGCTCTGAGTGGTCAGGAAATTCCTATCTCTGATGTCTCTATTCCCCTCGGTTTCTTCATCTATAAATCTGAGGTTATAATAGTGCCTGTTCCCTAAGGTTGAGTGAGAGTTAAATGAGATTGTACATAGTTCTTAGTAGTGCTGGGTACTTAGTAAACCCTTAAATGTTGCCAGCTTATACTAAAGTGTTACTGGATTCTACCCCTTAGCTCCATCAGTTGACTGGCTAAGGTGTAGGGTAGTCACACTGCCTGTGTTTGCATATCTGGCACTTACTAGCTCAGACAAGTTACTTAACATCTCTGTATCTCAGTTTGCTCATTTATAAGATGAGAATAATTGTGATGGTGATTTATCATGCTGTTATGGGAATGAAATGGTACAGTGAAGAGTAAAACACACATAGTAAGTATCCACTAATAATGATAGCTGGTCTGCCATCATTTGCCTCCTTCTATTGGGACATCTTTTTATACTTTCCTCAGTCATATTTTATATCAGAAAACTGTATATCTCTGTTTCTAGATTATTTATTTCAAGCAGTTATACCCTAGATTATACCACTGCTGACACCTCTGCTTATGAAAACATATTTAACTTACCAATAACTTTTGGGACTTCAGCCTGTGAGTGTCCTTAGTATTTAAGAACTAGCTGGGTGCTGACTTTAAAGTCATTTGAGGACATGCTTTTGTCCCACTGTTTCTTTCTTCTGTGATTGTATGTTGATTCTTTCTCGCCCTGTCAGCACTGAAAAACTGCCTCCCTAATCATGTCTATGCTCTTCCTCCATATGTGTTTGGATGAAAAGAATTGTGTGTTATTAGTGATTACCTTACATAAAGACATAATGTGTCTTTTTATCTTTTTATACTCTGAGGCCGTTTAGCAAATTGAAGTTGATGGACGTGGGGAAGGAATTGTTATTCCCGTATATTAGGTCGGGAGACTGAGGCTGGGAGGCAAGTGGCCCAAACGGTCAATCGTGCCATGTCTCTGGGACTAGAACTTCCTCCACTTGTAGTTCAGTCCTCTTTCTTGTACCCCCAACTGAGGAGTGGAGGAGGCACAGCTTCCAAGGGACCCAGTGACCTCTGCTGAGGACACTCTCATCACAGCCAACAGTAATTCCTCTGCCTGGAATTAAATTTATCTCCTACTTTCCTGCCTTTCTTGGAAAATTCCATTTTTCATGTAGGTGTGCTTTCCAGATGCTCACTGCTTCCTTTTACTCTTGTGAACATGTTCAAATTTTCCACATTTCTCTTGTGTTTTTGCATCCTCAGTGGTTGCAGTACAGAATAGAACACGGCTTTTGAGCAAGCCCTATCTTACCTGCTGGAGAGTGAAGCGCTACCTGCCAGATGTGATTCGCAAGGGAGGGCTGCCTTGTCCCCAGTTTCTTTCAGCCTTACCCGCTCCAAGACTAAAAATTGCACCCCTAAAAACTCATTCCTGTACAGCAGTCTATCCCAGTAATTTCAGTAATTTCATTTATCACTTCCAAGATTTTGCCACACTGTTCAACTGTGTTCTACCCAGTATTTCCCATCAATTGACTTTTTACTTAAATTTACAGAAAGCAAATCTTCATATTTCTTCTATAAACGGAAATTCAGCATCATTTATCATAAACAGAAAGTCTTCATAAACAATATACACAATCGATTAGAGTTAAGAGAATGTTCTTCCCACATGTGCTGAAGTCATTTATGTACTGTCACTAATATCAAGACTTCATCCATAACAGCTCAAGCCACCTGACTGTGGAGTTGTTAGCCCTTATGGGTCATTAAGTTAGGGCAACAGATTGCTTTCCAAACCCTTGGGAAATGAAGGCTGTGCCTTCATAAGGAGAAGTTTTATAGGTCAGTATTGATAATGTAGGATGATGGAAAGATTAATCCAACGTGTTCACTACTGTGGGCACAGCAGGGTAGCCCACGGTGGGTGGCATCCTGCAATGGAATGACCTGGAGTGAACCACTGGGGGAAGGGAGAGCCTGAGGGAAGAGAGGGAGAAAACAAAGACAGAAAAGGAGCTGAGGCCAGGTCTGCTTCATAGCTCTGTCTAGCACTGACTTAATATCAAGTATAACAGGATTCTTTATCCATCGTTTAATTTATTCGTTATACATATAATAGGATCAGCATCTACAGTTACAACACAGTTGTGCAGAACTATAACTGAAGTCAAATTGCTCGTGACCCTCCATGTTTGCTCATGGCAGTGGAGGCCATTGTGTGTGTGTATTGGGGTGGGGTGGGGTGAGGTTTAATCTTATCAATTAAAATATGGTCTCTTCCGATTTAAGGGTCTCTTGGGGAAAATGCCCTCTTCCCCTTCTGTGCATGAACTGGCATATGCAGAAATACACCTGATCCCATCTGATCTTTGGGCTGTGCCCACCATCTGTGGCCCTGCCATAACCTCATACCACGAAGACCCCTACTGTGTACACGCACATCATCCAGACCCCAGGCTTTACCGTCCATAGGCTTTCTAGCAATTTCATGCTCCAAGTTGTGGACTTGGAAATGTTGGCTGCCTTCCCCACATCCCACCGGAACAAGGGGAACTTTGTAAGGCTGTGACAGTCCTATCCAGCAAGAACAGCCCCTCCCGCCTCCCCAGCTGTTCTCGGATCAGGCTACATGTTGCTCAGCACTGCAGGAGTGAGGGCCTTCTGTAGGAGTCTTGCAGCCTCATGGGCGGTATGGTATACAGGAAGCAGGCTACACACTGCGCTAGGTGTCCCCAAACTTTTTGTGGGGTTCTCTCCTATCCTCTCAAGGTTTGAACCTCACTCTCCTCTCCAAGCTTTTAACTCTCCACTTCAGAGTTTGTATTATATTAACTGACATCCTATGTGGCAGGAAGTTGCCCTCACGTCCTAACAAGTATCTCATCTACTTTAGGATCAGAACTCCAAATTTTAGCTCTTTCTTTGAATCAAGCCCCTTTTGGAATTCAAAGCAAACTGCATTTCTCTCCCAAGTATCTAGCTCTTAGAAATCAGAAGCACTTTGCTTTCAGCCTTTGTGTCTACTATGAGTTAAAAGCATCCATTAAGCTCTTCAGTTGCCTACTCTGTTCTGATCTCTGTCTGTCCTGCCCATAAATGCCATCGATTCAGCTGGTGGCAAGCCCTAGGCAACTTGAAATACCTAATGAGCAAAAATATTTGTTTACTATTTCAGAAATACTCTCTTACTACGCATGCTACAACCCTTGGAAGAAGTCTTGGATTTTTTTTTTTTTTTTGAGGTGTATCTGCCGGGTGGCTTTGTTTTTGATTTGTTTTACAGAACAGATATATCACTTTATTGTCTATCAACACATGGCATCCTTTCTTCTCAACTTTCAAGTAGGTTCTTTTCTATTTTTTTTTTTTTCTTTAGAACATTCCAGTAGGAAATTGAGGTGGAAATTTGCCAGTTTTCCTGGTCATGAATGATTATCTATTTGGCAAAAGACCATCAGGTGGGGCATAATTGTTCCAGTTAGAACTTGTAGATGGGGATTTATTGGTCGCCATAGTTAACAAGTCTAATCACACTTTGCTTCCTTACTTGAGGCTGACCACGTGCTTCCACTTTGCTTTTAATCATTAAATTTTCAGATAAAATTGCTATATCGTACTCCTCCCACAGAGGAGGCAACTTGGGTGCCAAGAGCTATTTGGCCTGTGAAGATTATCCTGCAGACCTAGGTCTTAAATCTGGGTGTTAGACTCCCTCGGACAAGTGTCTGCCCTGCCTCAGTTCCTCAAGGAGAGGTGCCAGACTGATGTTTGAGAACTTACCAACCAAACAGTTGGTTCCTGTGGTCAAAGGCTGACCCTTTGACCAGTTCCCCAAGGACTTGTCTCAGTGCCCTGCACCCAGCCGTCACAAATGTTGACCGAATGAATGATGCCCAAATTTTATGTAATACCTCTCCTCGTCACTGGGTGGTGGTTAGGCTTTTGGAAAGAGCACTTACCCATCATTGATAAACATTGTGCTTAGTTTTACTTTTATTGCAATCCTCTATTTGTAGGCCAGATTGAATTAATTGTAAGTCTAATGGCTTTTCAAATCTATTTGCAGATTTTTATCTATAGTAAAATTTAGGCATTTCAGTGAAAAAAATATGGAGAGAGAGTATAATCATGAATTATCAAGCTTCTACTGTAACAGCCCTTTCACTTCCATAGGAGAGGAGGAGGGTCTAGGGAGCTGAGTGATGCTAGGTCCCTTCCACCAGCTATTTCATGATCAGACATACTTAACAAATATACTATGTATTGGATGAGATTTGAAACAAGCAAATGGACTGATTTAATGCACTATACTTTTTTAATGGGACTCTTTCCAGTGGTGTCACTGGATATTTTGCTGCCATTTTGTGTTCATGCACAAATGTGCAAATATATGCTTTAATAAATAAGTCAGTGTTAGTCTATCATTTTATCTTCTTGGGCTGTAGTCTCTTCCTGTCAGATTTGCCAAGACAAACAAAATTAGTTGTCTGTTTTTGCTTTCAAGAAAAGCTTCTGGCCAGGCGTGGTGGCTCACGCCTGTAATCCTAGCACTCTGAGAGGCCGAGGCGGGCGGATCGTCTGAGCTCAGAAGTTCGAAACCAGCCTGAACAAAAGCGAGACCCCGTCTCTACTAAAAATAGAAAGAAATTAATCGGACAACTAAAAATATATAGAAAAAATTAGCCGGGCATGGTGGTGCATGCCTGTAGTCCCAGCTACTCGGGAGGCTGAGGCAGAAGGATTGCTTGAGCCCAGGAGTTTAAGGTTGCTGTGAGCTAGGCTGACGCCACGGCACTCTAGCCCGGGCAACACAGTGAGACTCTGTCTCAAAAAAAAAAAAAGAAGCTTCTAAAGCTACAATCCTTAGAGTGTTTTTCTTCTCTTTGGAATGGAAGAAGCATATTGTATTTTTTTCAAGGTGCTTCAAATACCAGGTAAAACGTCAGGATTTGGGAATTTTGGCAGGGGTATGGGATGCCTTTTAGGAGACTTGAAGTTTGCCAGAACCGAAGTCCTATTGGTTTTACCTTCATCAGGGGTCTTCATTTTGGCATCATTTTGTCCATAAATTCTGTAGAGGTCATTGCCACATCATAGCAGGGGTCTCAGGCTGGAGTTAAGACAACCACCAGACTCAGTGGAGCTCAGGGAATCTTACTGGTGGGAAAACATCTTCAACAGGTGTCCCTCTTTCTGTGGCTCCTTGACCTGGCCTATGGCTTCCAAGATTGGAGGAATATATGCCTAAAACATGTAGCAATAGCATCAAAGAAAACAGATGAGTGGTTAAGAACAGGGATTTTGGAATCCATTTGTCTGGGTTCAGATTCCAGCTCTGTGTATTCAAACACACACCACAAACAGAAACTAAAATATTGGCGTAATATTATTTGCACAAAGAGCAAAGCATTTATAAGATAGGTGCCTTCATAAGGACAGATATCTGTTTGAGGAGCTACTGTTGTTACAAATCTACTTTCAGCTGCTACCTGCACTAGCGCCATTTTAGTAGAAGGGAGACAAAGTGTATTTTCAATTAATAAATCTACCATCAGGGAGTTTTTTGCCTTCAGTTTTACCTTACAGTTCATCACTGCCACCTTTGCAATTAATTCAGCTTTATTTCATTTTTTTACATAAAACAGTTTTGAACAACCCATCAGGAGTATCCTTAACATAGATAAAATTCCATTCCACCCATGCGACTCAATTCATGAGGCCCTAGGATTCATTTTTCTAATTGCTCTGTTACTTTTACTGTTTTCCTCAGACCCACTAGGAGACCCAGGTAATCACCCTTTACTTACCTCACCACACAGAATGATATTTCTTGTTTGCACGATAATTCTATGCATAGACTTCATAGCATAGTAATTCTACAACCCATTCCAAACAAACCAGGGTGCGTTTTCTTCTTCATAGCCTCAATCCTCATCCTAATCCTAATGGTCATACCAAACAGTGATTCTTGGGCAGGTTAATGTCTGCCTTGGTTTCCTTATCCATAAAACAAGGATAGTAATCATTTCTTCTCATAAGGTTGTCATTAGGATAAATTACATAAACATGTAAAAGTTCAGAGAACAAAGCCTAGAACGCTGAATAGCTCAATATCACTTGACGGTACCATTACTGTTTTTATTACTATATTATTTTTATATAATCTATTTCTATTTACCAGTTACCCTGTGTCTTAGTTCAGGCTACTATAGCAGAATACCATAAACTGGGCAGCTTATACAGCAAGCCTTTGCTTCTTGTAGTTCTGGAGGCTGGAAGTCCAAGACCAGGGAGCCAGCATGAGCAGGTTCTGGTGAGGGCTCTCTTCCTGGTTAACAGACAGCCGCCTTCTCCTTGTATCCTGATGTGGCGAAGAGAGGGTTAGCTTTCTCCCCCTTCTTATGAGGACACTAATCCTGTCATGGTGGCCCTACCCTCATGACCTAATTCCCTTCCAAATGCCTCACCTGCTAATCTCATCCCAGCAGGGGTTAGGATTTCAACATATGAATTTTAGGAGGACACAAACATGCAGATACACCCTGAATCATGGGCAGCTCCTTGCTTCAGCAGCTGAGCTGTTCCTTGCTCCTTCTAGGAGGGGAAAGGAAGGAAGACAGAGTGCCTAAGGTGGTTCCCCTTTGCCTCCTCCTTTACCCCTGCTGCCAAGTCAAAGCATCACAGACTCCTTCCAGGCTTAGAGACAAGACAGAGTCTGTTATAAGGAAATATGGTTCAATGCATATATTCAGTCCTGAAGACTTTGTTAGATACCATCTACCTGTCACAAAAATCATTAGCAAGATCCTTTCCAGCTTTATGTATAGGCATGTTACATAAGAATGTTTGCTTAATAACCATAGCTTCCTGAAACAAAGAACAAAGAACTTGGCTGACAATAGCAAGGAACTATTTCTTTTTCTTTCTTTCTTTCTTTCTTTCTTTCTTTCTTTCTTTCTTTCTTTCTTCTTTCTTTCTTTCCCTCTCTCTCTCTCTCTCTCTCTCTCTCTCTTTCTTTCTTTCCCTCTCTCTCTCTTTCTTTCTTTCTTTCTTTCTCTATGTTGCCCAGGCTGAAGTGCAGTGGCTATTCACGGGTACAACCAATGTGTACTACAACCTTGAACTCCTGGGCTCAGGCAATCCTCCTGCCTCAGCCTCTTAAGTAGCTGGGACTACAGGCACACACCCAGCTCAGCGAGGGACATTCTTTAATGTTATTTTACATTCTCTAGCAGAAAGTTAGAAGTGATACTGAGAAAAAAATCTATTTTGAATGGATAAAACTTAATGAGTATCAAATTTTTTTCTTTAATGCATTAATTGTATAATCTAGCAACATAGAAAATCAATACTGGCTATATTAAACAAAGTGTTTTTCTTTTTAAAGATATTCTGGAGTGTGTACAATAATATCCCTCCGGTGACTAGCCTGCCTTTGAGATGTAGTTATCATTTAATGAGAGGAGAGAGGCGACCACTTTGGTAAGTGTCTAATGGGTAACTTGAGGCCAAGGTGGGAGGGAAATTGTCGTGAACCTCATAAAAAATCATATCCCCTGAGACGTGTCTCTCACATGGACCCCGTGGAAAGTCTGTGATACTGATCATGGCCCAAGGTCTAGGGGAGAGTGTTCTAGTGTCCTCCTTCTTTAATAGCTTGGTGTAGTGATGAGGGTGGTGGACAGTACATTGGTTTGTCCAGACTGGAGTCCCAATTAGTAATAAATCCTTATGTCATTCAACCTTTCTGAGTTATTTACTCATTAATAAAATGGTAATGTATCTCAGCTCATTGACTAGCAAATGACAGAAACCTAATTTGAGCAAAAAATGGATTTTTTTTGAACCTGTAACTGAGAAATTCACTGGGATTTCCAGCAAATCTGGGTACTTAAATGTTATCAGGAATCTGGCGCTCCCCATCAGATTCGTTTTGTTTCCTTCTGCATTGGTTTAATTTTCAGGCCTAATTTTAGGTTTAATTTCAGGTTTAATTTTCTCCTTTTTGTGGTAGCAAAATGGCTTTCACCAGCTCCGGTCTTACCCCTTGCAAGTTTATCAATGTCAGCATTCTCTAGCCCTCACTGCGCTTGTCCCAGAGACAAGGAAGGGGCAGTATTCTCACAGCAGGCCTGGGTCGTAAGCTCATCTCTGCAACCGGGAGGTGGAATCAACCCTATCTGATAGTGGGTCTGGCGTAAGAGCAGGGGACAGGTGGTTCCTCAAGGGGAAGTTGAGCTGCTCCTACCAGAGAGGGAGCAGATATCAAAGAGGAGAACACAGCAGATGTCACCACAGGGACACTTATTAGGCCCGTGACACAAGATTGCTATGAGAATCAAACGAGACCTTGTCATGAACGTGATACTGCAGCGTAAAGGCCTTTTCACATGCGAAACAGTTGTATCGATTGTCCGTTCCCCAGAGAGCCAAGGGAGCCTCTCAACACCACCTCGCGGAGGATGAGGACCGGTGCCTCATCCCCCCTCGCCCCGGTAGCTGCTGAATTCCACTTTCTTCCCTCCCTGGCCCCAACCCTTTCCTTTTTCTTTCATCTGCTTCTGTTTCCAATAAAAGGACTGGGGGAGAGTTTTTTGAAAAATGCCCAATCGTTTCTGTTTTTATGTTGGAATACTTAATCTAAACGTATGTAGAACCTCTTAATCCTTGAGTATAACTTTAAACGTTGGTCTTTGATCCAGGGAAGAGGAGAGTAATGCAAAGGGTGGCGTATGGAAGATGAAAGTTCCCAAGGACAGCACGGTAGGTTTCTTCTGACCCTCTTCTAGAACTGGCTAGGCTTGGGATTGTTGTGGACTGCCTGTGATGGGCATTTGGTGCTTTTCATACAGCCTACCTACCTGGTAGTCTCCACACATGCCTGGGGGTGAGAAATTCTGTTCAGACTTGGTGATTTTCTGCCCCACACTGTCACCTTGAAAACGCAGAATTGTGCTTCCCTGTAGAAATGGTGCGATCGTGTGATTGCATCATGTAGTTTGTAAGAGTCAACGCCCACAAACTTTACAGAAAGGCCGATTGATTATCTTTATGGCAGTCATTGCCTTGCCAGCCACGACTAACACGTGGAAGTTGGTTTTACGTGGTAGGAAGAGGGATCCTTCCCAGCAAAGTCTCATCCCTCCTCCTCTGGGGAACAAAGGCAGTTCTGAGAATGACCATGGCATGGGGAATGGGGAGGCTTGCATCTCACCATTCCTTAGGGTTTCATGAGCTATGATGCCCAGCCTCCTTCTGGAGCTGGTGAGAACCTGGTTGGTGTGATGACCTGGGGGGATGCTGGTTTGCAGTGGCCAAGCCTCAGAGATGCACATTTCCCAGGAGTGGGCTTTAATTCATTATAGTGACTAGAAAGAAATGTGAACATTAAAATCATTTAAGCCCTGGGAGACCAAAAATCTTCTTTGAAAATGGATGAAGGGGAAATGCTCCCCATTCTCACCTCTTCATGGTTTCTTTCATGTGGATAAGCTCAAAGAATTGAAATGTCTCCAGGGACCCATATGTTTGAGCTGGAGTCATTTCCCTGTAAGCACAGACCTAAAGATATGACCAGATTTATTTGTCAAAGGCGCAAACTATTAGTCAAGATGTGTAGCTCCAAGATGTGACTGTTATTTGGCGTACATAATAAAAAATACCAGGGGAGCAAATAACACACTGAGCAAGGCATATGAAGTCCCTCCACTCACCCCCTCTAAAAGAGAGAGAGCCGAGAATATCCGAGAATGAGAAAATGTAAGGGTTTTTTTTTAATTTCACTAAGAATGCTTTTTGCCTTTTCATGGTCTTTGTTTACTCACACTAGACTTTGAACTCTAGTAGAGGCAATCATGATGTCAACATTCATTGAAAAGTGGCTGAAAGGCAGTTTTGTCCTTTCTCTCCTTGTTAGCTCACTTGGCCACGTTCGGTCACAAACAGTCATACTTTGAAGTCCGTACGAGTGCCCTCATCCCAAGCAGGTCGGCCTACTCTTAATCATCAACCAGAGGGAGTCTTGTGGGTCAACCTTGTCTGAATTCAAAGAGGGAGAGTTAGGTCTCCTTACCCCTAACTTCCTGCCACTCTTAAGTTCATCATTAACAGCATAAAGAACTGTGGTTGGACAGATGGAAAACGGAAACGATGATTTCTAGATAGAAAACTAATAGACCAGAAGGCCAGAAGGGAGGGTCTAGGAAATAGAAAAGAAAAACCTCCTTGAGGGTGAGAGGTCACATCTCAGTTCTCCATTTAACTGCCCTGGCCTTGGTTAAAAATTCAGCTAGGCTGCTTTAAGCGCATGAGGACGTGTAACAATAAACACTATTACTGTATTAATAGTTAATGTGTTTTGAGCACCTGACATACAGCAAACATGTAGCTATTTATGGGGTGGATCTTAAATGTTGCGCTCTTCCATTGAAATCATTGTGCTGAGCACTTTGAACGTGTGCATCGACTAATTTCATAGTCACAGCAACCCAGGGAGGTCAGCCCTGTTATCATTTCTTGTTCACCTAAAGAAACTGAAGCTCAGAGAGGCTGATAACATACTTGAGTCACAGATAATCAGCAGCCTCTCAGGGTTCAAACCCACTTCTGGGAGACTTTGGAGCCTGTGGACCATGGCAAGGAGGATAAATGGGACCAAGAACTTTTCAAAAGGAATAACTGGCAGACCTTTTAGGCCTCCAGTAACCTGTGAGTGGCTTCTGGCTGTCTATTGGATGGCTTTAGTAGATCTTGAGTAGAAGGAACTCCAGTGTTGGTAGGAGGTAACCCAGAACAGGTACTAACTCTTCCAGGGAAACTGCATACATTCATGCACAAAGTTCTGTCACCCAGCACAAACAGTCTGCCTCAGGTGAATGGAATTTTCCAAGTCTCTAGTATTAAGTAAACAAGAAATTTCCTGAAGTGTTCTTCACTTGTGTACCCTTTGAAGCACTTTATAAGCTGTAAAAAAAAAAAAAAAAAAGAAAGAAAGAAAAGAAAAAGAAGGGTTTTAAAGAGAAGGATTTTGCTGATAGCATTCAGCTTATATATAAATATATAATCAGTTTATACATTTTGAATGGTGAGAGGCAAAAAAATTGAAACGTTTTAAGTCCTTTGAATGCATTTGTCCCTGCTCTTCTGAATTTCACCAGTGGTTTTACTAAAGATTAGCTTTCATAAGACTTTGGATCCCTTGTATCCGTGTAAGCTTATTTGTAAACCAATACAATACATGCCACCCTTGTAAACGTGTACGCCTACGATTTGGAGATGTCTGCGGGCTCCAAATATGGGCACAGAAAGTGCATGTGAAGTTGAAGAAGATGTAACTTGTCTAGCTCCTGAAGATAATTGTCTAAAAATATATATGTGTTTTGTTTTGTTTTTGTTTTTTATTCTTTCCCCACATCAGTCCACAGTTTGGAAAGAGTTGTTGTTAGCAACTATCGGGGAACAGTTCACAGATTGTGCCGCAGCAGGTAAAGAAGCCCACAGCTCCGGTCGTCATGCCTCGTGCGTGCTTGGCTCCTGCTTGTTTCTTGCGGAAGTTTGTTTGTTTTGTAACTATGAAGCCGCTCAGATTTTTTTTTTTTTTTTTTTTTGTGTTCGTGGTGTTTAGTGCTAGATACGTGTGTCTATGTACATATGTATATTTACATATGTGTATATTTGTATGTATATATGCATATATATTTTCCCCCTCATAGCTCAACTTAATAGTATCTGCAACCATCTGTCCAAAATAAACAGGCAGAAAGAAAAGAAAAATTTGACATCAGTTGGGCTCTTGACACAATTTGTAGGAGGTTTCCTTTATCTGTTCCAATACTTCCAAAGGGGGAGAGTGCCTTTGGTGTCTAGCGAAGCTGGGAGGTAGGCAGGCACGATCGCTTCACCCCTCCCGTCCCTCTCAGTCCCTTCCTTCTGCCTTTGTTCTTCACTTGCTCAAAGAGAACCATGGCAGGTAGTCAGAGTTGCTCAGTTATTACCCGTGATCCCACAGTGGAGGATGAAACAAGGTCTTCAGGACTTTCCTTTGGAGACCATTTTCAAATGCTGAGTGCATTTCCGAGAGCCTCTGTGAGTACTTTTTGTTTTGCTTTGTGCTTATGATGAAACCACTCAAAGAAGAGACTGTAATTGCCTGTTTAAAGTTTTGTTTTCTTCTTAGGGAGTTCCTTCTGAATGCTTCTAAGGTAACATAGGATAATATTTTTCCTCTTCAGCTTTCAGTTAAGTTTTGTTTATTTTTTTGTTATTTTGTTTATTTTATTTATTTTTTTTTAGCTAATAATATTGATCAATTGGCCTTCAGACTCCTTAGATGGTGCTGTCTTTGAGATCCCCTGTAGGCCTTACTATTCCCACGGCAAGTTTCAAATTCGTCTCACTAGCAGTTTCAATAATCCTACTTTTATTTTTGCTTACTTCTTACACCATTTTCTAGTCACTTAAGACAAAGCCTGTGTTAAGATAAAATTGTCTTAAAAATATATATTTCTTCTGTTTTAATAGGGAGTAGTTAGCAACTTGATAATATACAGCCAAAAATGCATCTTGTGTATAATTATAAATACATAAACCCTTGGGAGAAGAAATTTTCTGTATGAATTATTCCTGTTTCCAGAGCCAGAGAAAATAGTCTAAGTAAGAATAAATAGCCAGTGTTGAGTAAAGAAGACCAGTTGTTCTGTGGTTGAATTAGGAAACGAGAACACCTTTAACTATTAACCATAAGCAATTCTGTTAACTAGCCCTGCCACTTTAAGTGAGTCAGCTAATCTCTCTGGGCCTCACTTCCATCATCTTTAGACAGTGGCCCCTCCTAATTCTAATGTCTTATGCTGCCAGTAACCTAAAATAATCAAGGTTTTGCTGGTTGATTCTACTTATGAATATTGCATATTTGCTGATGGATTTGCCGTTGCATACGGGTGCAGCCTTTTACCAGGCCACTGAAAGTGCTGTGCTAGTAACTGTGCCTCAGTTACCAAAAGCCTAGTCAAACTGAGATATTGACAGTTCCGCATATTCAGCATCCATCAGTTACATCACCCCCGACCAGTAGCGTAGAAACAAGCCATACCAAAGGACTGGGAAATGCGAACATTTCCCCAAAAGGCTGATCTAGTGACTTCGCGGCCATTCTTGAAAGTGATAAACGGCAAAGCTTCCCTCTTTATTTGATTATTTTATTTTCACGTGGAATAAAACATTGAGCTCTAGCAAGACTATTCTTAAAGTATAAATTTAAAAATAAGAAATTTGTACCTAAAAACTCTTTTCTTGATGGGATAGTAAGTTTCTGTGGATAGCCATAATTAGGTACTTTTTTCTTTTTTTGGAACTTTTTGTTTGAATGTGACATAGAGAAAAGTACACACTGTGATAAGTACTCACAAAGTAAGCATCCCCTTGCAGCTAGCATGCAGGTAGAGGAGCAGGACATTACCAGCCCCCCAGAATCCCCCCTCATCTTCCCTTCATTCAAAGGTGGCCACCAAGCTAACTTTTGACACCACAGGCTAATTTTGCCTGTTTTTGAACATTTCTATAAATGGAGTCATTTAGTGTCAAGTCATACACATTTAGCCAGGGCCAGATTCATTTAAAAAGCAAAGAAGGAAGAGAGGAAAAAGGGAAGGGAAGAATGGAGGAGGAAAGAAAGGAGTTAGTGTACTGAGGATGACTTTTGGTAAATTGGGTGTGTTCTCATTTAAATGATATCCTAATAGTAAAATGTTTTAACCTCCAGAAGATGATCAGAAAAACTGATGGCATGCATATTTGGATTTACAAAAGCTAGCAAATTAAGCAAAACATATTAATTAAAGCAAAAGTTCCTAATTCTGATAATGCTTATCTTTTGAGTATGACTTGTTGCTGCTAAGTGCTCAAGTGCAAAGAGCTGGCCCTGTTTCATTACTGTGTCAGGAGCACAGAAAACCAGGAGTGTGTACTGCTACCATTTGGCTACAAATTAGCATAAACAAAGTGGCTACAAGGCAGTATATAACAGTATACTTACCATCCAGCCACTATGCTCAACTGTCTACAAGGCAACCCTGAATTGGAATTTCATTTCTTAAAAGGCCTACGTCAATAAATGTAGGTAAATGAATGTCCGTTCACTGAAGTATAGTACTTATAATCACAGAGCCATACTCAGAAGCGCTAACAGATAGTCATTGGTTCTCTAGCCCACGGAATAATGCCCAGAACCAGAGGGGGATTGCTAGAGGGAAGCATCAGAGAGCAGAAAGAATTCGTAGGCAAGGAGCAGACAAAGCAACCACAAAAAGCAGCTGAGCAATGTATGATGCACAGTCTGGTCCAGTTAGTGTTGGGGCAGATAGCACTCACCACCTCAAGGTCTCTGAAAGCTTGGCAGGAAGTTAGGAGAAATTCTTGCTCTTCTTAACAGCAAGGCATCGAGGAAAAGTTCATTTCAGTTCACTTGGCTTTGAGAGGGCAGGGAATTATGCAACCCATTTAAAAAAGAAATCCCATCAAAACAGAGTAAGAAATAGTCAGAAAGCTTTGGTAACTTTAAAAGGGGTAATAACTTATCTGGAAAACGCATTTGGCTGGAACATTTTGTTTATCTAAGTCCCTGGGTAAATGTGATGTGACTACTGCAGCTTTTGTACACTAACTTGCTTTTCTCCAGTGATTCCCGTAGAAACAATTATTTCTTACAAATTCTCTTGTGCCACCTTCTTTTTCCCATCTTATCTATAACTTTCAGATATGTGATTAGATTCTTAGGAACAATCAGACTGAGTTGAAAATTATCACTCATTTCTTTTTTTCCGTCTTCCCCCCAGATGACGAAGTGATAGGAGTTAGCGTCAGTGTTCGGGACCGAGAAGATGTCGTCCAAGTCTGGAATGTAAATGCCTCCTTAGTCGGCGAAGCAACTGTTTTAGAAAAGATCTATGAACTTCTGCCCCACATAACTTTTAAAGCAGTATTTTATAAACGTAAGTGCTTCATTTCCAGTTACTACTTTCTAGCTTATTTTATCATACTTTTTGAGATAGAAGCTGTGTTGCAAATGAGGTGAAGGCAGAATCACTTGAAATTCAATAATTCAGAAGAATTCAATAAAATCCATTTACATGTTTTTTTTTAAAAAAACAAGTTTAGTCTCAGAAATTAAAATGAGATTTTTATTCTTGCCTAACTGCATGGATCAGAAAAGGAAATACATATTGTATTTGTTATTTCAAAAATTTAAACCTGGACTTAAATTCATAATCCTCAGGAAAAAAATAGTTTCTATTGGAAAGAACAATAACAAAAATGTCCTTATATGAGCTGGTAGGTAGATATTCAATCATCCCTTCATAAACAGGAATTTATAATGTGTAACATCTGTATTTGTAGAAGAAATGCATTCTGAGCACCGGCATGATTGAATGTTCTACTGAAATGCTAATACTTCCTCCTTACGGGTGACTGTGACACAGGACTGAAAGAATTCACGCACAGTGGCGAATGTTAACAGTATGAATAGGTGTGTGGACCCATTGTTTCCATCATGATTCATGTTCATTGCTTTTGTGTGCTCTTTTGAAAAAGTCATCTTTTTCATAATGAAAACATCTTAGTGCTATTAAACCCATGTTTGGTAGATCAAACTGCAGGTTACACTTTTTAACAGTGAGTTAGAGAAAAGGATTGGCAGCCCTATACACATATGATAAATTTCCTATATCCCAAACTCTTCCTAGAATCCATAACCCATTTTTTAAACTTCAGTGAATCTAAGATGGCCTTGATGATAAGGTACTCCATTATTTAGTATTATTAAGAAAAAAATAAAAGGCTCCCAATTAAACTACAACACATTATTGATACCAGAGGACTTCACATCTCTGTGTGGTGGTGGTGAGGCGTGCATCTTAGAATTGCTGAAATACAGTTCATTATTGTTTCATTTTTTTCCAACTCCTTGCCAAAAAGGATTTTTAAAAAATCAAATTTCATTTTGCGATTGTTCTAGTATGATAGAGAATATTAAAAGTAAAGCCTCCCTGTACGGAATCATGCAATTACAGACCAAATGATTTTAAGTTTTAAGCAGTGGGATTGATCTGGCCCTGCAGATATTCAGGAGGTGCAGATATTCTGAATTTTATATGAAAGTTTAAATAAAAGTGGCGGAAAGACGGCACTGCAGAAGTTGCCTGTTGGCTGTGCAGTGTGAAAATCACATGTTTTTGATGCTATTTTTATCCTTTAAGGATACATTAATTATATTTTCACTGCAGCTATTTAATTGAAAGGTCACCAGGGTTTTCTCTTTTTTCTACTCCACAAGAATAACTAGCAGAAACACTACCAAAGGAAGTGTGTTTCGTTGCCATTTATGAATGGGGCTAAAACATTCTTCACCGCTTTGGAACCAGCTCTATACTTGACTCAAAAGAGGAGAAAAGCAATTTAGAATCATTAAATCAGGCACTTTGGATTTTTGACCCACTTCGAGAGTGTGACCTTGAACAAATCACAACTTCCCATCCTTTTGCTTTCTCAAATGAGTATCGAGGAGGTTGGTCTTAGATGATCTCCAAGGTTCCTTCTACTTCAAAATTCCATGCTTAGATCTCCACGTACCCTGTGGTTAGCAGCAGGCTCACCACAATATAAGAGTACTATTAGATAATGAGGCCACAGAGTGTCCAGGCTAGTTCTTAGGGCCGTGGTGATAATCACTGACCAGGGGCAGGATGATCTGCTGCTTAGCTGTTCTGATGGCTGTGGAAGGAAACAGCCCAGCTAGGGAAAAGAAAGTTGCAGCTTGGCCAGTTGAGTCAAGCTGAACAGACACTCTAAGGGTAGAGGCCATTGTAAAGTTTGTGAGTAGTAGAGAACTGGCTATGGGTCCCAGCAAAAGTCCATATTTTAATGGCATAAATTAACATTTTGAAACTCAAAGATTATTCAAATAAAAATTTGAATTTGGAAAAAAAAGCAAGCATTTCTCTTTATTTTATATGAAGCAGGCAGTCCTTTACTCAGTAGGGTTATATACCACTCGCTGCAAAGGTGATTTGGAAAAATGAGGTTTGGGCAGAAATCTTATTTGCAGCATGATGAACAGGCGCAGGTGAGCTAAGTTAGAAATGGCCAATTCATGCTCTTACTCCATCTTGTCAATAGGATCCTGGTGGAAGTAGTCACAGTTTCCAGAAGCTAGGTGACTAGATTCTCCACATAGAATGAACCCAAGCATTTCAGTTACAGCCTCCAGTGGGCAGATGAGGATTAGACTGTGGATAATTTACATAAGATTTGGATACAGATTGTTCCCTTGAGAAACTCACAGTGTACAGACACCCTGCCCCGCTTCCCCATTTCTGTAAAGTTCTTCAAAGCGGCTGGATGACGAAGGTCTTTTCCGATGTGAGGCTTGTTTAGAGCAGCGGTTGGCAAACCAAAACTTGGGGGCAAATCTGCCCTGTCCTTGCCCCACCCCACCCCACCCACGCATCTGAGAATGGTTTTTCCACTTCTCAATGGTTGGAAAAAAGCAAAAGAATTGTATTTTGTGACCCATGATGATTATGTGAATATCAGATTTCAATGTCCATAAATAACGTTTTATTGGCATATAGTGATGCCCATTTGTGTCCATAGTGTCGATACCTGCTTTAGTCCTACAACGGCAGAGTTAACAGTCGGAACAGAGACTGTCAGGCCTGCAACAACTAAGATATTTTATTCTCTTCCCCTTTCTAGAAAAAGATTGCCAACTCCTTGCTTAGAACAGTTCTATTCCTTTCCACCAGGGCTAGCTGACCTGAGGTGGGCAGAACGCCCTCTGCTCTCTGGACACTCCTAGCTGCCAGTGTTCTATTTTGCTGTCTCCTTAACCCACCAACATCCCAGTGTTTCAACAATGACCACCCTAGACTGTCCCTCACACTCTAGAAGTAATAAAAATCTATGGATGGTCCATATCTCTGGATTTATAATTTGGACACCAGTATCACAGTGGTTCTGCAGCTCCTCTACTTGACCCTGAAGTACAGTGTATTTCACTGCAGACCAAACCGTGTTTTCTTCAGTGTCTGCCCGAAACATTTTTCTTAAAAAGAAAACACACACACACATACGAAAAATATATGAAATTATAGCTGTGAGAAATGTTCCATTAAATGAGTTCAGATTTCTGGCCACCCTTAGGAATTTGGCCAACTGGAGGTAACCCTGGGAGCTGTAAAGTGCGTGTCCCGCGTGCTACACAGGCCATGAGCAGGTCCGGGTGAACATCCAAGATGATCTTGAAGGGAAAATAGTCCCACCCCACTCCTGACCCCTCAGCAGTAGTCTGAGGAATTTAGTCCACATTAAAAACAGAGACTTGGGAGGGGCTTAAAAGGTGAAATAGGCCAGCCCACCTGTGCCTTCCTAGGACACCTTTCACCGCTGGTGGGGTAGGGTGTAGGGAGGCAAAGTACCCGGGGATCCTGCAGTGCCCTGGCGTTACCAGACCTGGCTTCATGGTGATGGTTGACCAAGTCCAGCAAGTGGATTCTCAGCCTTGGCCTTTTGCCTTGGAGGAAATGCTGTGTGTTTCATAGGTCTCCCATTTCCACCTTCCACTTTAAAAAATGTGAAATCTTTAAAATTATTTTTGATAGCATAATTTTTTTTTCAGTTCTAGAGTTCCTAATTAGTAATTTTGTGAGCCAGACAATAGGACTGAAAATCCACTGGGGGGAGGAGGGAAACATGATTGGGGAAAATAAAAGACCCATCAATTTTATGAAACTCCATTTCCCACAGAGAGCACTGAGAGGTGGGGGGAAAGTAATATAATTGCCATCGCCCTGGTGTGGTTCTTTGTTTTATTTTTGTTTTATTTTATTTTTAAAGATAGGCTCGTGAGTGGCTCTGTCTTGGATAATGTCAGGTGTCCCCCCTCCCCGTGCATTTTCTGGGGCACATTCTCCCCTGCAGCATTTGCTCGCAGCCCAACATACTCCCTTCATCCGCTTGTCGGGATGACTCATCCTCTCAGGCACAGCAAGAAGAAACAGGCAGCATGCCCATTGCTTGTTTATTCCTTGTTTTAATTTTCATTATTACGTTTCTCAGGAAATGCACGCCTTAGCTAACAGTTACTGGCAAAAAAGGTATTTGAGTTCTTGCCAACATTTGGGGAAGCTGAATGAGATGCCTAGAGGAGGGTTGGCCCATCCTTTGCTTAAAGTTTTCTTTCCTTTTTTTCTTTTTTGTTTTTTTCTGTCCTTTAGCCCATGAAGAGCATCATGCTTTTGAAGGTGGACGTGGAAAACACTAATTGCACTCTGTAAAGAATTCTTTGTCCTTTGCTGATTGGTTTTGGAAACGGTCTTAACAGGAGGGAGAGTGAAGAGAAGACATGCCGAAGCCCGATGCTGGTCAATTTAGAGTGGGTTTCTGTCCTTGCAGATTGGGCAATTAGGACTGAAAGTGGCAGGTGGGGTGGGGGGAGACTGTGTGGGTTTCTACCGTCACATTATTTGCTTTTAAAAAAAAAAAAAAATTTTTTTTTTTTTGGCTTTCTAAATTCTCCGTTCTTTTCACTCTGAATTTTTTTTTTTTTTGCCCTTTAAAATTCCTTATTCAGTCTAATTATTGTTTTCTACACTCCCCTTTCACTGAGGCACAAGAAATTGGTTTCCCTTTAAGTAGCTCTGCTGTACCTAGTTAATGAGAATATGCATAATCATGACAATACTGCTTTTGAAAACCACACTGTACAAGGAGGAATACTAGCGTGGCGAAACCTGTCTTCTGATTATTTGTTGTGACACATTCCTACGTCCCATGAGCTGGGCATTGTTTTTTTCTGTCCCAGGGAAAAGAAAAACCATACTTAATCTGATTTTGCACTGACAGCACATACATCTTTTATTTTTCCTTTTTAAAATTTTTTTTTTTTTTTTTTTTTTCGATAAAGGGAAAAAAATAGTTGGGTTGCCTAACATGAAAACTGTAATCACAGTTTAATATCAGGATATAAATCAAACTCTAGGTCTTTGGGTCCTCTGTGAAAAGATTTCTAACCAGAATTTCAATTTGGCCTTTTCAATGAAAGGCTTACAGTCGTAGCAAGGGATCTCTCCAGTAGGAAACCTGATATCTCTGATTTAAAGAGGAGGTGATATTTTAATTGTTTGAATTAAGCTTCTTCCAAAGTTTGGGTGTATTTACCCACTTAGGGCTTTCCAGATCAATTCTAACACATTTTGTTACCTGACCCCCTTTCCTGCTCACACTGTATGTCATTTCTGATAATCGACCATCCTCCAACCTGGGCAGCTTTCTCTGCCCTTGTTCATTTAGGAGCAGGAAGTTAGATCTCGTTTCCAGGATGAATATGAACATTCACAACGCTGAACTTTGCATTCTGTTCACATTCAGTATTGGAATTGTTGCTATGTATTGTATTATACTACCAAAGAAATACTGATTTTAGTAGAAAGACAGGGCCACCCTCTGGAACATTGAGACACCCTCAGAAAGTGCCGATTTCCCTCTCTTGCCTTTGCCAAGCCTCTGGCTGTTTTTGCCTGCTAAAGGGCAGGGCCATTGGAAGAGGCTTCCTCAGGATGGCTTGTTTTTGGAGTCACGGGAGCCAGTGCGTGCTTATACATTTTTCAAAAGGGCAGTGCACTCAGAACTTTCATTGCACCCAGGATTTTTAATTCCTCTTGCACTGTTGACCAGCAGAAAGTGGTGGGGCTGCTTTCAGCCTCCAACATGTGTATGTAAATAAAATTCTCCATTGAAACATTTTAAAGAACTTTCAACAATATCTTTTTATCAAAGTTGTGCCCTTCACTTGCTTTACTAACCGCATCAACCATAATCACCATCATCATAGTTTTAAAAAAATGCTCTTTTCTAAACCTGAGTTTCTTCAGTGATTTCAAAATGAGGTATAAAGATATCAGACTCGTTTAGCAAAACCCTTGGACTTGTTTCTCTAAACGTTGTACTAACATTCATCTTGTTTTAAAATTATTCCTGAAGGATTTTTTTAAAAACTCTGGACATGAATTAAAATTCTTTTTTATAATATAAGTATTTTTCTGATACATTAGAAAAAAGGATATAATTGACTTCACTATAATTGTCATATATTTCCATAAGTGAATGGATTTTGAGGTATTTTTATTTTTTGAATCTTATTTAAAGCATTTGTGATGACATGTTCAACTTTTGCATGTATGTAGCCATCGAAGTAAAAATAAAATAAAATAAATAGGAATGTTAGGCTCACATTAATGCTTTCTAGTTTCTATTGTTTATGATCATGGAACATGACTACCACACAAAGTAGATTTTTGTCCCAGTGAACTTCTGCGACTATTTCTGACCCTTTGGAAAATACCAACTGTGAGAAGGATTTAATTTGCCTAATGTTAAAAATCTATCATCTAAATTACTTTAAGAGAGGATTTTTGTCAGATTTTGCTTTGCAAATTGTTTTAATTGAATATTTAGTCATAATAGACTTTGTATGAACTAAGCTGATTTAATCAGTTTAAAAACCTCTCATTACCTTCTTAGATTAAAGAAGCTAATACTCTTTTGAGATAGAAGGAAATATTTTGTGGGGCATGTGACTTTGGTGTCAGGGCAATTGACCCTTCCTGGCCTGTGCTGGGGAAAGTGTGAGCTTCCAGTAGAATCCTGGTCTTTTTGGCCAAGTCTTTGCAGGTGCAGCCTTGCGCTATCCGCAAAGAGCCACATGGAAACCAAAGAGCTCGCTTTCTCGTCTGTGTAATTCCTGAGGGTGTGTGATACGGGGCCAGGAAATCTGATTGAAACTAATATGCTGCTCCTCCTCCCAGTATTCCCTAGATGTCATATCACAGGCACTCGCTCCCATTGGGAAAGTTATGCCCATTAAATAAGGATGAATAATACCCACTTAACGTAACTTGTCTATATTTCAATCGTCTTTCATAAGCCCGTTCTGAAGTGCTGACTTACTCAGTTTTAAGATTTCCTCTTTTGCCCCAACTTTTCCATTTTTCTAACATGAGGGTATAGTTAACAGCAAACATGTACATTTAATGTTGCTAGTAGATTGACAGTACACTTGATGCAGAAAAAGCATGAAAAGGAAAACACAACACTAGTAACCTTTGAAGATAAAGTTGACTCTAACCTTCACACTCCTCTTCTTGGATTTAGCTCATGTTTACACCATATGCAGCCACAAGACTTTATAGCTGATAGAAACTTTAGATATAATTAGATCCAGTAGACGTAACATACAATCCACCAACTGAGCCTCGACCGAACTTGTCCCTTGTTACAGACATAGGGCTAGCAAGCCACAGGGCTGGGCGTTGAAGTCTGCAAGCTATAGCCCCGTGTAGGCTTCCTTAAGTGGAGAACACTCAAAGTCTGCCAACCTTACCTCCCCAAGTTACCCTGATCAAGCACTAAAATCTGATCTGTTGGGGCCACTAACCTGACTACATAATCAGACATCCGCTTTGTAAACAGTTCCTCATTCTCTCCCTCGAACTCTGAGTGACTGAAGTGGCCTTAGGATTTGGGGTTTGAAAATAACCTTACTGTGACAGGTGGGCCTTTGCTGTCAGTGCTCAACTCTTAGAGGATCCCAACTTTTGCACTCACACAAAACTGGCAGCGCTTGGAACGATCGCATGGTGGCGCTGCCTTCTAGCCAACGGTTCTGGCTCAGCAGCAGAATTTATCCAGCTATGTTTGTGGAATTATTTTCAGACCCTACTGCATTTTGCTCTTATGCTTATATCAAAATTTGACTAGAAAATGTAAAAATGATACTTAGCGATATACAACATTTAGTTTCGTGCACCTAATACAAATTTGTCAAAGATGGAATCTTCCAGATAAGCTTAAAAAAAAATCTCAAATCTTAGGCTCTCATTGGCCCTATAAGCAGTTGTGAAGAGAATGAATAAAATAACTAACACGCAGGAAATATGGGAAATATTTCATCAAATATTGTGGCCACAGAGAGAAAATTAGGGTTTGATTTTTTTTTTTTAGCTTTCTGAATATGGAATTCCCCTTTAAAAATGTGAGTCTACCATCCCCTTCCCTATATTGTATGTTTCTGTAAGATTTCACTCATTACAAATGAAAGTAGAGGACTGCCTGTATATTGTTTATTTCTTAAAAAGAATACATTGAGATCAATTAAAATTACTCAAGAGTTTGAAAGCCTGTGTAATTGTTTCAACAGCTGGGAGGAGTCAGAGGGTGAAAGGGAAAAAGATAGGGTCGGAGGTGCTATGAAAAGTCCATTGGAACTTGTGCCCCTGCATAGCAATGAGGGTGCGTTCCCCCTCTATTTCTCCCAAGAAGGAAAAAAATCCCAAATAGATTCCTACACATCTGACTCTACTGTTCCGGTTTTGTTTTCTGTCATTTTTGCATATGCATCAAAAGCTGAGAACACTTCTTATTTAGGTTAACCCATTGAGGCCAAAAGTCACCATCTGGTGTTCTAGAGACATGACTCCATTTTTAAAGGAAAACGCAGAGACTATTAGAATTTTAGAGTGGAAGGGACCTTTGAGATCATCTACCAGTGCTTCTCACGGCTTAGCCTGCAGAAGAATCACTCAGTTACTTACTTATTATGCCGATTTCTCAACCCTAGCCCTGGAGGTCTGGGAGGACTAGATTATCTGCATTTTTAGCAAGAGCCCCAGCAATTGTCATGCTGCTGGTCCGCAGACCTCGCTTTGAGAACCCCTGATTTTGTCCAATCCCCACATATGACAAACGAGAAAGCCCCCATCCCTAAGCTGTCTCAGGTGACCTGATTCGAATGTGTAATACCAACAGTCTTATGAAGGGTAGATGGAGAAAGCCATTATTACTAAGACTTGAGCACATAATGCTCGTAAATAAGAACATTATGGCTGGGACAACAGCAGTCATAGGAGCCCATCTCTGGAAGTTCATAACATAAAGCCTTTAATACAGAGTGGTAGCTTTTCTCTTTTCTAAATACAATTTCAGCCTGTTAAGAGAAAAGAAATTAATGTTCAGAAAAAGTAGTTACTCCATATGTGCAGTAACTACTTTTCTATAATGTCTTATGGCATCTGGGGTTCAGCATCATTGAACAAGATTAAATGAACGTTATAGAGCTATAAAATTGCATGTAAAATAACGCAAAACTGTTCAAATGACTATCAAAGTAGACTGGGAACGAATTTCCGCTAAAATTAATTGTCACTTTCTAAACGTAGCTTAGCAAAGCTGTTACTAAACCGGAGGGATTCTTTAATGCTAGAAGTGTCAAAAAAAATCAAATAAGTATTCCCCAAACCATGTGAATGATAAGCAAAAGTCATTGTGAAGTCAATATTATTTTGTTCATCATTGCTACTGAAATTTAGAGTCTCATTGTATATGTGTGTGTTGAATGTACCTTATTAGAATATCCAATAAAATAGCCTTTGGATATTCTATGCTCTCGTGTCTTTTAGGAATCATGAGGCTGAAGGAATCGGTGTTAAATGTTTTTGTTTTAGTTGCTGCCTGAAGACAGTTATTGACTCATTCAATGAAGTGCAAGGTTTCTTTATGAAAATTTCAACTTCTAATATTGAAGTCAGAGAGTTTTTCTTGAACTTTCATTTTGGAACAAGTGTTTATTTGGGATTTATTAAACTGTCAACTTTGCATTATAGAAGTAAGCATGAAGTAAATAGGAATGTTTCTGAGTTTTCTGTAGAAAATTAATGGTACCTCTCGTCTTTTTACATACAAAGGAACAACTTTAAAGGAAAGCTTACGAATGTGAAAATGTTAGTTTTAGCACTTTGCATTACATGATTAATGGAAAATATTAAAGGACTTTGAACATTTGAATAAACTTATAGGGTTTCTGTTTTCAAATAGAGCTATTCACTTTGTAGGCATACATTAAATTCTCCCCAAAGTTCTCAGACCTTAATCAGGTAATGTGGCCTACAATCATTGTATGTTTTCTTAAAAAAAGTTTTAACACTATTTTCTCAGTATTTGTTTAATAACAAGTCACCATCACTTTGAGTGTATCTTCATGGAGAATTTGATTGCATTTAAATTATTACACAAAAGAGTTTTAAAATTTTAACTAGTGAGCACACTTTAGCTTGAGACATCTAGCATCATTTGTCCCAAATTTAAAATCTTATCAGTTGCATTGAAAGTTATTCGTTTTTTCAGACCAGTCTTACCTGTGTAAGTTGAACCAGGTTTATTTGCCTTATGTTTTGGATCTGTTTATGCCCCCCATCCCCCTATATTATACCATCTGTGCCCTGTGCAGTTGGGGACCCTTTCACATCTGGCTACAAGCTGGTGTAATGCCCTTCCTTTTGATCTGGCTTCATCTAGTGATTTGCTCAGTATTTTTAAGGTCAGACTGAAAACTATTCTGTTCTAGTTATTTTTGATTTTATATTGTGTGTTGTGTTTGATGTTCAGATACATGTGAAAGTTGCCTCTATAAGTCCATAATTTTTATTCCAGCCTTTTGCAGCAATAAGGTAAGACTAGACTGTACTTTTCTTACTTGAAAATGCAGCGATTTGTGTGTTCAGTGCAAGTGTTTAGACTATTCGTGCAAAAGTTCTTGCAATTTTCTAATTTGGGATCATACTGCTATGAATTTGTGCTTCTTCCTGTTTCAAGTTATAAATTCATTGGGTTTGTTTAAGTGTTATTAGTTTGTAGAACTTTATTTTGAGATCTTTTCTCATCTGTTGCCACTAATTCTCACTCTGTATTTGGGTTCTTATGGTATAGAAACATCATTTTCATCCCCTAGGTTTAAAATTTTATGCAATTTTACCAACCACATGGCTTAATCTTAATTAGGTTCCAAGTGTGTGTGTGGTGATTAATATAACCCTGTTGATTCCAGCACATATTGAAGATTTCTGTCCAACAGCTTTAATGTGTGTGAAGCCCCTAGCATGGTGCCTGACACTTAGTAGGTTGTCTGTGGTACTCTGATGGGCAGCAACTATTTCTATTTTTACACTTTCCTATTGGACACATTTGGTAATAGGGTTCATCTTGGTCTCTCAGAAAACACATTTGGCTTATTTTAATTCTTTTTCTTTACCCTCCACTAAGAATGATTTCATTTTAGAACAAGTCGATTTCTCTTGTTTGTCTTTTGTGCTGCAATTTGCCCATGAGATTCAGTTGTCCCCCAAAGGAAAGTGAATTTACTCTTCCTTTCTGGCTGTTTATTATATCCCTTTAAAAACAAACAAAAAATACCAACAAACTCTTATTTGTTCCATTCATTTGCAGACTTTGCTGTCTCTCACTATAGAAGCAAGCAATTCAAGATTATGTGTGTGATGCCCAATTAATTTAACACAGCGAGTTTAATGAAATCTTTGAGGGGCAGGGCAAAAACACTCTGAAGGCTTTAAAATTTCATAACATGTCCTTCTCATAGTTGAGTCTGATTCCTGCCACCATGCATTCTATGTGTACTTTATCATCTAGTAGTTATTGATGCCCTTTCTGGAATGTGTTCTTGGTTGTTTTATTAGCATAGGTTCCTCTGCCTTCTCACCTAACACAGTTTTTTGGAGGCCAAGACCATGCACGCCTTTTCCTTCCAAGTGATTCTTTTCATGCAATGGCTGCTATTAAAGAATTTTTAACTGCTTTTCACTAATGAATGTATTAAAAATCTCTGGAATCCTACAGCACGATAGGTCTTTTGTTATAGGAAGAAAAGAAAACAGTAGCATGTACAAGGCTCAGCAAGTTAAAATATATATCATTGAAATATGTTTCTATTTCCCATCATCTGGCTAGGCTATAGTGCTGACTAGCTTATTTCTTGCCAGAGAAAATAAGTTTAAATCATAAGCATATTTAACCAGCAAGCATAAATCATAAGTCCTTATAATCATAAGCATGTTGAACTCTGGTACCATTTGTACAGATGGCAGGGCTAAATGTGTGTGCTCCTCTCAGCATTAAAGATGTGGACAAGCTCTTACTCCCCAATTTCCTCTTTAACTCCGGAAACTTAAATCATTTGTTTTTTGCACATGTAAGATTCCATAAAGCATGAAGCTAGAGGAAGGTTTCAGGTCTTTGGAAACATTTGGGTTTTGTGATTCACTCTTACTGAAGAAGGATGCTGGAAATGAAAGTGAAACACTAAAGCCATGTTCCATTTTTAGGGCAAAATAATTGGTGTTTCATGAAGATAGTCTAGTTATAAAGGACAAGACTTTGGTTTTCACAATGTATCTTTTTTAAAAACAAACATCATGGAATCAAATAAAATTTTAACCGAGGTCCATCAGCTTTCAAAGAGCATTCCCTAGGAGGCTGGTTCTACAGAAATACTTTTAGAGACTGCAAACAAAGTTCTCATGGTAAAATATATTTTTGAAGGTATTTTAAAATGTATAATAAAATAGCACTCCGGGAGGCCGAGGTGGGAGGATCGCTTGAGCTTAGGAGTTTGAGACCAGCCTGAGCAAGAGTGAGACCCTACTACTCTAAAATAGAAAAATGAGCTGTTGTCATTGTGCACGCCTGAAGTCCCGGGTACTCGGGAAGCTGAGGCAAGAGGATTGCTTGAGCCCAGGAGCTGGAGGTTGCAGTGAGCTATGATGATGCCACTGTACTCTACCCAGGGTGACAAAGCAAGACTCTGTCTCAAAAAAAAAAAGTGTAACAGAACAACACACCTACACTGATGTGCATTGCATGGCAAAATTTTAACATTTCAGCAGCCAGTAAACATAATATATGTACTCATTGATTTTGTTTTTTGAAACATCACTCTTCTTAAAACCTTTTATTTGTAAAATAAAAGAAAGGTACAGAAAACAAATGTGTAACTTAGTGAATTGTTATAATGAGAACACCCATGATAACAAGTCAAGAAATAGAACTTTTCCAGCCAGCCCTGGATCCCCCTCTCATGTCTCCTCCCTCCCCAGGATAATAAAATAACCGTTATCCTGACCTACAGGAGGCACTTCCTTGCATTTCTCTCTGGTTTTATCACAAGTGATAAACATTATTTTACATAAAGCATCTCTATTTATGAACGTTGGTTCAGAAAAGTTATAAGTTCATTAAAATGGTAAGTGCAAAATGACATAGTGATTAGGCGGAGTTTGACATACTTTTGCTGTAGTGTGTGGCTCTGTTCATAGCTATAATAGCAATAATAATAATAGCTACCATGTTTGGAATTTCATGCCATCTAAGCATATAGTTTACTTCTCCCCAAAACCCTATCAGGTAAGATACTATCAGTGTCCCCATTTTCTTTCCCCACCCCAAGGGGGTCTTCCAATGAAAACCAGAAAAACCTGCTAGAAAAATTCTAAAAGAGCTATAACACTTGTTCCCATTTTCTATATGTGGATGTTTAGAGAGGTGAAATAGCTTGCCCATGGTCACACAATGCATCAATTGAAGAGCCAAAATACATCTAAGGCACTGCCACTCCAGCCTGGTCTACTGCTAGGCTGCCTTGATGGAAGTTGAAGATTCCAATGTACAAGAATTTTGAGATTCCTTATGGGGGTTCACTTATAAAGAAGAGGATTTAAAGCTTTAAGAAAAAGATGGGAAAATTGCTGGCCTAGTTCAAACTTTTCATTTTACAGATGAAGAAATGACCCAGGAAGTACAATGAATTCACTTAAGGTCACACAGGCAACTTTGGTGGCAAAGTTGCAGCCACATCCCCAAATCTCCTAGGCTGTTAAAGTCAATGATCTTTCCTTCATTCCATACTTTATGTGGAAAAAAATACATATTTTCTAACCTGCCTCTTTGCATCAGCTCCACGTGAGCAGATTTGTGTTGAAACCAGTCTGCAGCTAGGACACACCATCCGCATGCCTATTTTCTCAAGGTTTTAACAGGGAATTAAAAAATTTATATTTGAAGCTTGCTTTTCTGTCTCACTTATTGAGTGCCCAATCTGCAGACACACATGACTAACACTCTTCTCCAAAGAATGTACAAGAATAACACATTTAAGTGGTGTGGATGGCAGGTGAAAAAGAATTACTAGTGTAGTGTGTAGGCCCTTAAACATATTCACGGCCAATTCCGGATTATCCCAGCACAGATGGATCATGCAAAATCCCTCTTCTACTTCTTACTGGTGACCTTTCACTATTTGTGTTTGCAAATGCTTCTACCAGAGATTGGAAATGAGAAGAGCAGAGAAGATGGAATTTGGTTTCTTGACCAGAGTATGTTAGGTGTCCTGGTAAAAGTTTTGGTGGTTTTGCCATTTCAAGCTACAGGGAGACTGTGGGATTCTTTCTGGATTGGACCTATCTGGGATGCCCAACTTCTGATTGTTCTGAATGTGAACAATCAGAAAGAAAGCAAACTGGCATAATGTAAAGGGCTTAGTTTGAAATTTTCTTCATTGGTTGAAATCCCATGAGCTTGTACCTTCAGCAAGTTACTTAACTTCTTTGAGTCTCAGTTCCCTTCTCTTTGGAAAGGGAAGGTAGAACTTCTTCAGAGCAAATTACCTATGAAGCACACAGCTCAGAACTTTGCACATGGTGGAGAGTTAGTGAGTGGTACTTCCATTGGTGGGCTGTATCCATTCATCCATACGGTAAAGAGAATGAACTGATCCAAGGAAACATTCTGACTTTATTCTTGAGGTATTGGTCCAGCTTAACTGGTTTGAG